TAGACATATATTATTAAATATGACCGAAAAAGTAAGATTAATAATTCTAACACGAATTTTCTCAATCTTTCGTACATTATGCTTCACTGTTGGAGGTAAATCAAAAATCAATTCTCCAAAATTCATTTTTATTTCTAGTCTGACGCGACACGGGCGCGTTTCGTAAAACTTATTACATTTTCAAAGACTTTAGTTCACAAATACACAACTGAATAGAACTTACGTATCTCCGATTTTATATCTACATTTGAGTGAGGTGGAAGGGTGATGTGGCATTAACACAAGACAGAACAAAGTGTGGTATTAATAGGGTATTAATTTCATCAACACAAGACAGAACAAGAGTATTAATAGGGTATTAATTTCATCAACACAAGACAGAACACAAAACAATGGATATTGAATAGAAGTGTTTGTAGAAAGCCTATTGGTCCATATTTCTTGATGCTTCTATATTGGAGCAGAGTCTTGAGGTGGGTAGAATATAGTTGTGCAATAATTGGCTGTTTATTGCTGGTGTTGACTTCTTGATGTGTAGTGCCTCACAAACGTCAAGCCGACTGCTATCGCTGTATCTATCGATGATTTCTGTGTTGTTTACTAGGATTTCTCTGGCGATGGTTTGGTTGTGGGAAGAGATTATATGTTCCTTAATGGAGCCCTGTTGCTTATGCATCGTTAAACGCCTAGAAAGAGATGTTGTTGTCTTGCCTATATACTGTTTTTTTTGGAGCTTACAGTCCCCAAGTAGGCATTTGAAGGCATAGACGACGTTAGTCTCTTTTAAAGCGTTCCGTTTTGTGTCTGGAGAGTTTCTCATGAGTAGGCTGGCCGTTTTTCTGGTTTTATAGTAAATCGTCAGTTGTATCCTCTGATTTTTGTCTGTAGGGATAACGTTTCTATTAACAATATCTTTCAGGACCCTTTCCTCCGTTTTATGAGCTGTGGAAAAGAAGTTCCTGTAAAATAGTCTAATAGGGGTATAGGTGTTGTGTTAGTTGTCTCTTCAGAGGTTGCATGGCTTTTCACTTTCCTTCTTATGATGTCTTCGACGAAACCATTGGAGAAGCCGTTATTGACTAGGACCTGCCTTACCCTACAGAGTTCTTCGTCGACTTGCTTCCATTCTGAGCTGTGGCTGAGAGCACGGTCGACATATGCGTTAACAACACTCCTCTTGTACCTGTCTGGGCAGTCGCTGTTGGCATTTAGGCACATTCCTATGTTTGTTTCCTTAGTGTTGAAAGTGTCTACAGGTTTGGTTAGGTAGGTTAGGTAGTCGAAAAACAATTCATGATAACTTGGCTTATTAGGCAAATCGGGCCTTGCATAGTAGGCAGAGAAGTGCGTTCTGGCTACTAGGTACGACATATATATATATATATATATATATATATACATATATATATGTCGTACCTTGTAGCCAGAACTCACTTCTCAGCCTACTATTCAAGGCCCGATTTGCCTAATAAGCCAAGTTTTCCTGAATTAATATATTTACTATAATTTTTTTCTTATGAAATGATAAACCAACCCTTTTCTCTATGTATGAGGTCAATTTTTTTTATTGGAGTTAAAATTAACGTAGATATATGACCGAACCTAACCAACCCTACCTAACCTAACCTATATTTATAGGTAAGGTTAGGTTAGGTAGCCAAAAAAAGCTAGGTTAGGTTAGGTAGGTTAGGTAGACGAAAAAACATTAATTCATGAAAACTTGGCTTATTAGGCAAATACGGCCTTGAATAGTAGGCTGAGAAGTGCGTTCTGGCTATTAGGTACGACATATATATATATATATATATATATATATATATATATATATATATATATATATATATATATATATATATATTCTAATCGCATGTCAAAGAAATTCTGGCTTAATTTCTCTCGTCAAACGAGGATGTACAAATTGGCAGGGGATTGAACCCCGCGACAGAGTTCTGGGAAGTCCTTAGAGCAGTGAGTAGGTTAATGTGCTTCCCTTTAGCTTTCTCTGTAGATTTGGGCTTCCTCTTGAACATTTACGATCTGCAAAGCCAGACCTCTCGACATCAGTTCCCCCTTCAGCCTCCCTCGACGTCAAGGCCCTTGACATCAGGCCCTCTGACGTCAGAGAATCTGGTGTCAAACTCATTTTTGATATCAAGCTCAAATATTAAACCCTCTGAATGATTGTTCAACATCAAACTCCCTGATATTTGACGCTTGTAAAGTTGAACCTTCCGGCTCCTATAAAATCACACACTGAAATCAGTATCAAACTCCGACACAAAACCCTATGATGCCAAAATCTTCATTATAAAAATCCAATCCAATAATGCATAAAACCACCCATATTAAAAGCCTCAAAAGTTGGTGAACATTATTAATTAGAGACTGAGAAGGATTATTATAATTGACAGAGACTTGTTCTATGACTTTTCCTTAGAGGCAAGTCGTTCTTTGTCTCCCCAGTTATTCCCCTACTCTCCAAGGATTCTACTAAGCTTGTGGGGGGCGGGGCAGATTGTTGATATCAGTTTGTCTTGGTTACGCCGATATCTCTTAATTCAGAGGTCGAATGTTCTATAAGGCCCTTACTTTGTGTCTAGTCCGTACTTCCTGTTGGGCTGAGGGAGCACGCTCCTCTGTTTGCACTTTCTCTCCTTCTCTCTGTCTCTCTCTCTCTCTCTGTCTCTGTATCTCTTTCTCTCTCTATATATATATATGTCTCTCTCTGTCTGTGTCTCTCTGTCTCTGTCTGTCTGTCTCTCTCTCTCTCTCTCTCTCTCTCTCTCTCTCTTATGGCGGCCTTGCCTACTGCTCTGCCTCTCCTTCGAGCCTTCGTTACTGTGATGGTCTGCATCATGCTGGGTTGTGCCTCAGCACTTGCACCTCACCTTCGCCCCATATCGTAAGCTTGCATCTGTAGACCGGCGTCTTATCGCTCCAGAATGGTTGGGTTGTTACTGCCTTCGCTACCTCGCACGGTCTCTGTAACCCCACCAGTCTGGCTTTTACCTCCCTTACGGTTTGTGTTTGTGATGAGTTTCCTCTTGTCGTTCCACCCTTGCTAGTCCTATAGAAGTTCCCACTTGCGAAGTTTTGCAAAACTTTGGTCTCCGTGGTTAAAGTCGTCTACCCCATTTCTGTCTTTAGGAAACTCCTTTTCCTTTTCAACCATGGTCTTCGTGAACAAATTGTGTTGGCCACGTCACAGACGGGTCGAAGTCGGCCGACAGCATTGGATATTCTGAGATCGTTACATCCCAAGCCTCAATGTGTGGCCTACCTCCAGAGGATGACATCTTCTTGACGCAACTGGACAGGATATTGTATGTCCTTCAACTGCTTTTCCGACGTCAATGCTCCTTTGTCATTGTGGTTAACTCTGGCAGTACTCTCGTAACTCTAGTCATTTAGTCCTATGCGTTTAATCCTGTGGTGGTCAGAATCCAAAATTGGCCAAATACTAATCTCTAGCAGATTAAAGTCAAAAGAGTTTTGCTGGGTTTCCAGCCATATTAGTATTATCTAAAATGAACGTGCGGATAATGCTGCTAAATAGGCTATATCACACTTGTCCTATTTACAACAGAGAACAAAAATCTTATTTCGATTTCTACAGTTTCACTCGCTCCACAGTCAAGGACCGCTGGCCGGACCGCGCTGGTCTGGGGTTATAGATGATAAAGTGTGCACTCTTAAAGTAAACCTTCCCGTCCCCATCGTGGTCTTCCTGTTACTACCATAATAGATGGTGGTTTGTCAATTGTCCCTCAACAAAATCCTCGGTGAATCTGAGACCTTTGGTATCGCTCGCCTTGTGTGCTTTTGTTCTCGTGTTGCCATTCCTGAGTGATATTTAGCGCCCTTTTAGTATATCCAGCGACACTGAGGTTGGTACACTCTGTCGGGCCAGGTGCCGCCTTTTGATAATTATTTACTCGCTGTGGTCTATCGAGCAAGAGGTGGATGTAGGCTTCAGGCATAGACCAGATTGGTCTAGGCATAGTCCAGTCTGTGAAGGGAGAGGTTGGTAACATTAATAATATTAGACATTAAAAATAGTTTAGAGCAAATATGTGGTTACAAAAAAGTAATATAACTGCAATTTCTGAAACCTGGATTAATATAGATGCCCGAAATTTTAATTTCCTGTGCATTATATTAGAAAGTTTAAATATTTCTCTTTTAAAACTAACAGGAAAGGAGAAAAGGTAACTGTATTTGTTGATGAAATTGAAAGGTGTAAAAAAAGTGAACCGTGTTAAATTCTCTAAACATTAATATAAAAGTGAAGCTTCATTCAGTTATTTTAATGTTAAAATTATTTACTTTGACCTATGACTGTTCCACACATTATTTAGGGAGACTGCAATAAATTGCGTCTCTAGAGAATAACCGGCAAAGGACCTTTTACTGTAAACAATATAATTAGACCATCATGAGTGTAAAACGCAAATCGATACAAGTAAATGTTAACTTGATGCATAGTTTGGTGTTGGTCTTAATGTCTATCAACAACCTGGCGGGTTATTAAGGCAACTTCAAGTGCTTACTGACCAACCAGCAAGCATACTCTGGGTCTGGGCATAGTCCAGACCCAGAGTATTCTGCCTATATGGGCCCGGAAGTGGAGTATCTCTCTCACATCCGTAGGACTTCATACAAAAGTACATCACAATATGAAATTAAAGACGGGTGAAGTGCAGGAAAATTGTTTATAACCTTCAGATCTAGAACAAATTTATGTAGATATTCTTAAATCTATTTTGGCGGGTGGGAGAGGGGTTAGGGAGGGAAATGATTAACTTGTTACCTAAAACCAATATAATTGTATTTCAATGTACCCCTTAAGGCTAACAGAACACCTTGCTCTATATACTGTGCTCGTGATACTTTTATTCAGTGAAGAAAATTGTACAGAATAATCTATCAAAAATGTTATCTTTTTAAAACATAAAGCGCAGAGCAACTTTATTCCTAGCATTAAAAATCTCTTAACATAGGTACATTAAAAGTATAACTGTATTTGACTGTAATGAGAAGTATAAAGAACCAATCTGTGGAGTAATTGTTAGCAAAACTCTCATCTCGTGTCATCCAAGAGATGGTCGTGGATTCGACTCTCGCCAGGTAGGAACGAATGGGTACTGTTCCATCTGCGTTTGCCCACCCCCCAACCCCACGTCTGTATCCCAACAATGCTTTGTTCCTTGTTAAATAAAACGTTTATTGCATCATGTTTTCTGGAAAGATAGAAACTTTCAATGTGACAAAAAAAAAAAATAGTGTTGAGTCTATTGATTCAAAGTACGAAATAATAGCCGGAATTCATACTATTTTAAATTGCACAAAAATATATTAGAAAAAATTATTAGTTTGGAAATAAACTTGAAAACAAAAGTTTATACAAATACCAATGGCGAATCATTCTGGCGAATATTTAGTTAATTACGCAAATAAAATTGACAGATACAATTCAGATTGACTGATATGAATAACGTAGATCAAAATAGACCTATACAAATTAGAACGACATGTGGGAATGCAACTGTCTTCAAAACAGACCTGCCTAATATGGGTCAATAGGCCCAACTGACATCAGACCTGCTGACATCAGACCGCCCGACATCAGACCGCCCGACATCAGACCGCCCGACATCAGACCAGCCGACATCAGACCAGCCGACATCAGACCAGCTGACATCAGACCAGCCGACATCAGACCACATGACAGTAGACCAGCCGACATCAGATCTGCCGACATCGGACCACATGACATCAGACCAGCCGAAATCAGACCACCTGATATCAGACCAGCCGACATCAGACCACATGACATCAGAGCAGCTGACATCAGACCAGCTGACATCAGACCAGCCGACATCAGACCACCTGACAGACCAGCCTACCTCAGACCAGCAGACATCAGACCATCCGACATCGGACCACATGACATCAGACCAGCCGACATCAGACCACCTGACATCAGACCAGCCGACATCAGACCACATGACATCAGACCAGCCGACATCAGAGCAGCCGACATCAGATCTGCCGACATTGGACCACATGACATCAGACCAGCCGACATCAGACCACCTGACATCAGACCAGCCGACATCAGACCACATGACATCAGACCAGCTGACATCAGACAAGCCGACAACAGACAAGCCAACATCAGACCAGCTGACATCAGACCACCTGACATCGGACCAGCCGACATCGGACCTGCCGACATCGGACCAGCCGACATCAGACAAGCCGACAACAGACAAGCCAACATCAGAGCAGCCGACATCGGACCAGCCGACATCGGACCAGCCGACATCGGACTAGCCGACATCAGACCACCTGACAGACCAGCCGACATGATACCAGCCAACCTCAGCCCAGCCGACATCAGACCACCTTGTGGGAAAAACCTGCTGGGATTGATATGAGAGGAGACTACCAGGGACTTGAACTGAACTAAATGAAAAAATTACTGTCTGCAAATTAATTCAACTAAAATCTCTAGCTAGGGTTGTAAATCCTAGCTCCTCTTTTCCTAATGACAGATTGTGGGCTGTAAGGGGCAGGTGGGGTGAATGAATTAGTTGATAGGTTGATTGAAGATTCACAGTCCACCTGCCAACAGGTATTCTCACATCAGCTTGTATTTTATACAAGGATAAGATTCATTAAATTCAGTTATATAACTGAACACTGGCTCTGTTTAAATCAGAGATTTAAACATGTACATAGTCTAGCCTAGCAACATAACTATTAACAGCCAATATATTCTTATACTATAAACAACAATTTAAATAGTAAAAGTATAATAAATGACCTTAAATGTAGTCTAAGTACTGTTAATTAAGTACTATAAATTATATTTAATTAAATGAACATATATGATAACTTAAAAAATAACTAAGCAAGCAATTGTTAACTTAATTTATATTTTCAAGTATATATGCAATGTATTTATATTCAATTTATATGATGTACAGTCAGCTTGACTGAATCTCTTCCAACACCATGGATACTCATGAGGTTTTATTTACTTATTGCAGCTGAATCTTTTCTCACATAATGGACACTCATGAAGTCTAGTGCTTGGATAAAGATTCTACTGCTGCTCTACTATATAAATAAACTTACTGAGATATGAGGCGTTGCCTCGCTTTATAACTGACAGACAGACTTATAGAATATTAAAGTCACACAAGCATACAAATGGCCAACTATATACCAAAATAACCTCAATATACTTCTCTGAATGCCGGTGTGCTTGTCTGACAAGGTATGCCAGACTGATAACTCTCTTGTCGTGAGTTTAGGCACGATATTTTATTTCACAGCGTTGCTGTATGATGTACTATTAGAGTTGCTACGTGATTTTTCTATAACTGCTTTGCAAAAGATGAGGGTTGATGGTGAAGGTGGAGCCAAGTCACTGTGTGCTCCACTCTACACTTATAGATATAAATGTTCTAGGGATATTCCTTGTAGATATTGTCCAGGTACTCCCCCAGTTCTAGAGAGTATTCACTGGTGATAAAGATAATTAGATAAGATGTCCTGAGCTAAATAATGTTTGCTAAGGATCTGTCACTGTTCACTCAGTTGTAAACAAACGCGAAGTGCCACGGGGTGTGTTCATGGGTGCTTCTTGTTCCCAAGATGCCTCTCCCTCCCCTTGAGAAGGGGTAGCTTTCAATGAATATTGATTGATTATTTTTACAGTCTAGACTTATGATTGAGATAAGATGTGATTATAATATAATTAGATATAGGATTTAAAGATTATAAGTAGTACTTGATAGTACTACTGATTCTTATTAAGGATTCGATTTATTATCTCTACCGGAAGAGATTAATGTTCCAATAGTTTTTTAATTAAGAAATCCTTCCAGAAGCTTCTGGATCCTTGAGAGATCATGCACAAAGTCACGTAGGCATCTAGAGGGCCCTATTGCGTACCTGATCATAGTGACATTTTCATCTAGGATCAAGCTGTATAATGAATCTATTATGATTCGGATATGATTTTGATATGATTTGATATGATTTTGATACGATTTAGATATGATATATATATGATACAGAAATTATATAGAAATTATACATTTCTTAGATGATTATTAGATATGGTGGATAAAATTTGCCACAGCTTCCAGAGGGAGAGAACTGGCGCAGAGTCCAATATTAAGGACAATAGTAACCATATGTATTTATTTACTCTCCATTGGATTGATAATACAAGTGCTAATTTTGCTTGCACTTTTGTGCTGCTGTCCGTTGTGAACGATTGTGTCTGTTAGGAGTCTGTGGGTCAAGTGGAGTTAGAGGGCCTTGAGGTCTCTCAGGATCTAACTGCAGCTGGCTCACTGATTCCATGTGGATGAGTTTGTCCAATGTCTTCAGGGAAGTTGTTCCTTTAGACAGGATTTTGACTATTCTCAAAATCCCCTGGCTATCTGGATGGACTGAGACAACTTTACCTAATGGCCAGTCAGCCCTAGGGCCATCACTGTCTACCAAGACAATATCGCCAGGTTGGAGATTAGATATATTATGTGGGGCATTGGCTCCATAGTGATCTTCTCATAGAGATGTAAGATATTCTTTTGTCCAAACATCATTCCATTTTTGGATTATGCTGGACAGATGCTTATACCCCTGAACCAACTCGCTCTGACCCACATATGATTGATCTCTGATCTCATCATCCACTAGAGATGGTACCGGAGTCAGAAGTCTTCCATACATTAGGTGGGCAGGACTTAATGGCTCATGTTGAGTAGGATCATCAGACAAGTAAGTCAACGGCCGGTTATTCACCCTTGATTCTATTTCCGTGATTACTGTCTGGAGTTCTTGAAGATTGATTTTCTGACGGTGTAGAGATTTTCTCAAGGATCTTTTGACAGTTCCTATTAACCGTTCATAAAATCCTCCGTGCCATGGGGCTCTCGGAGGGATAAATTTCCATCTTCAATGACGCTGTTCCCGTGTGGAAGTAACTGCAGGATGGGAGCATATTTCCCGTAGACATGCTTCTCCAGCTACCAAGTTTGCTCCGTTATCTGAAATCATCAGCTTAGGGCATGATCAGCGTGCTGCGAATCTGCGGAAAGCTTGAATAAATGATTGAGCAGTCATATCGGGTGTTACCTCTAAATGTACTGCCCTGGTGGTAGCACAGGTGAACAGACAGATGTATGCTTTGATAGGTTGCTTATCTGCAGTCCCTGTTAGATATATTGCTCCTGTATAATCTACTCCAGTCGTTTCGAAAGGGTGTAGATGGACCACTTGTTCCTTTGGTAGAGGTGGTGGCCCTGGATAAGAGCAAGTTCTTGCATCGTACCTTCGGCATATCATGCAATTCTTCAAGATTGATATGACTGACTGTCTTCCATGAGGAATCCAGTATTGCTGTCTGATTTGTGTGAGTGTCTAACACTCCTCTATGTTTGATGATTTGTTGATATGTCTGTAACACAATCAACCTTGTGATCCAATGATTTTTTGGTAAAAGCCATGGATGCACGGTATCTAGATTGATATCTGCGTGTTTAAGTCTCCCTCCACAACGCAGAATGTTGTGATTTTCTTGGTCTATCCACAGACTGAGATTGTATTTTAACTTATGCGGACGATTTTCATAGTTATTCCCATAAGTTTCTCTCTGGGCTTGTCTTACCCAATAGATAAGTGCATCTGGAAAAGTGTATTTTATACCTCTTTTCCTGAGATATTGAAACACAGTCTGTGTTACATTGATTAATTTGATGAGCGAGGAGTAACGAGTACAATCCAAGACTGATATTTGAGCGTGCTGCCTGGTGGTAGTTATGGTTTGTGTTGTAATGACGTGTGGCTTTTGTTCAGGCCAACTTCCATTCACTAACCATCGAGGCCCATGAAACCAAATATCTGCCTTTGCAAACTGTTTAAATGCCATACCTCTTGATAAGAGATCAGCTGGATTATTTTTTGTTGGTACATGCATCAATTGAAAGCCTGCGGAAATTTCTTTAATTTCCAAGACGCGATTTTTTACATATGGAGTCGGACAGTTGTCATTTTGTACCCATTGTAAGACAACTTCATTGTCAAACCATATAATGACATCTTTGAAGTTCATGGTAGACAAGACTTGTTTGATATGCACTGCTAAGCGTGTGCCAGTTAGCAGTGCTGTTAGTTCCATCTGAGGCAAAGTCCTCTTTTTTAATGGAGTGACTCTGGCATTAGAGGTGATAAGATATGATTGATTGGAAGTCACTAAGTAAGCACAAGCTCCAAAGGCTTTGGCTGACGAGTCTGCGAATACATGTAGTACTTCTTCATTTTCCTCGACTATGTGTCTTGGAAAGATTATCTTTTCGACTAAAGTTTGTTCTTGAGCCACTTCCATCCAAGCTTTTTGTAACTGGATTGGTAGTGGATCATCCCTACCAACTTTAGTCTTCCAAGCTTCTTGCACCAATAAACGCCACTTGATAGTCAAAGGATTTAGTAGACCAAGTAGGTCGAATACTTTACTAACTTGTGAAAGCAAATCCCTTTTTGTAGCAATGCAATAATTTACTGGTACAGCTCTGATTTGAATTGTGTCCAAGATTAGATCCCACTCCATACCGAACACCTTTTGTGATTCTGGTACGTGATATTCAGGGTAATCTCTTGCTATTTGATTATTCAATGTTGCATTATTAGAGGCCCAAGATTGTAGTGGCATGTTGGCACCATGTAGCTCCTTGTTGGCCTCTTGATATAATTGTAACAGTTCAATAGTACTGTTAACTATCCCTTGAAAATTATCTACATATAGATTCTGACTGATTATAAAGTCTTATAGGGACGTGATGATTTCTTCAGATGAGTATCTAGAGTTACTTGCAATAGAAATGGACTGCTTGTCGCGCCAAAAAGAACGGATGAGAATCTGTAAGTCACTATAGGACTATTGATATCTTCTGGGTTCTCTACCCATAGAAACTTAGTGAAGTCTCTATCTTCTTCCTGCAAGCCGACTCTTAGAAAGGCCTTACTAATATCTGCTGAATACGCATATTTGTTAAGTCTAAACTTCAACAGTATGTCATACAATTTCTGAGTTAGACTTGGACCTGTTTGCAAACAATCATTTAGACTGGTTTCTTGGGGTCCAGATTTACAGCTACAATTAAAAACTATCCGTAAAGGAGTCGTTTTGGATTCTCTCATTACAGCCATGTGAGGTAAAAAATGGCCTGTTTGCTTATTGTCATGTTTCATGACTTCAATGAATTTATTTTTTAATTGTTGAGCAATAATCTCATGATAGAGTTTTAAATGCTCAGGCCTTTTTCTTAGCTTTGCTAATTGAGATTTAAATTGACTGGAAGCCATGTGATAATTGGTAGGTAAGGTTTTAT